TTAGCGTTTTTCTCGGGGGGGGGGGAAGCGGGGCAGTCTATTGCAGCAAAACCGTCGAAGAGACCTGTGGCACCTCGGAGGCTGGCCCGTTTTATTTAGCACACGTTTTGGGGACTGTAGCCCCAGGAAAGCTTATGCTAATGAAACGTGTAAGTTTTAAGGCGCCACAGGATTCTTGCTGTGTTTCTTGTTTAATATTGTGGATGCATCTCTTAACACACGCCGGCCATTGTCTTCGAAGCAATCAGAAACGGTGTGGACGTTATTGGGGGGAACCTCGGATGTTGTTTTTCGCGGCGAATGGCTGGACACGCATGTCGGGAGGCCGGGTCTTCCGAGGGGGAAATCCCCGCCTACCAGCACAGCGTCCCGCTATAGGTGGGCCCCGAGGGAAGATGTTCGCCCTCTGAAGCCGATTGCCTCTTTGTAGAAGCGTTTTCCAAAGGTTTTATAACACTGGCTAGTTACTTTTTTTTTCCCGGTTCTATTTTTAGCCTCATCTGAGCGGGTGGCCGGGTGCTATTCGGGTTTCCGGCGTCGTGTGTTGCACCATTGTTGTATTTTTGTTAGGAGGAATCCCCCCCCCTTGGTGGATATACCGATGACGTAACTCGTTATTACCACGAGGAAGAGCGGGAGAGGTGGCTTCCCAGGCCCCCTGCTTCGGTCCAGCCGGCCTGAGGGATCAGGGTGCCACGCCTTGTGGTCCGTCCCAAAAAGCAATGTACTGTACCTATCCACAGGTTGCGGGGGAAGGAGCCCCGCTTTTGAATGCCTGGAGAAGATAAATAATCAGAAATAGAGACTCTGAAGGGGTGCCTTGAACCCCCCCTCCCTCGCCACTGCCACAGCAAGCTCCCTGTTGCCTCCCCAGCAGTCTGCATTCAGGAACCATTGGCATGACACCTGCTCCCGCCTTTTTTTTAATAGCAGGAATTTTGAGACCAAACGTTCTGATAGAACTCAAAAGCTTGCCCTCTCTTGTGACTTTCTGCTGATTCAGTAATGGTATTTACTCCCCAAGCCAGAACTTTGTTTCTGTGAAGCTTGCAGGCTGTTAGAGAGATCCCAAGGTAGGCACATATGTTGGTTGATTTATTTAAAATATCTATACTTTGTTTTTCCCCCTCAAGATCATGCGGGTGTGTGTGTTCGTGTGCTTCTCCATCCTCGAGCCCCACCTGAGACCTGTGCGTGGTTCAAGGGGCCTCATCTTCCCTGCTGGAGCACCCTTGGGTCTTTTTGCCACCTCTTGCACACCCTCTTCCAATAAGAATGGACGTGATTGGGCAAGTGAGCAACAAAACATGTGCAGGAGCAGTAGCGCAGCCACTTGTTGGCTGTCCTCAGCTGAGCCCACAGGAAAGGCAGTTAAGCAGAGTGGGACCTTGGCCACTCAAAACCCGCAGGCAACACTGCAGTATAGATAGCCCCTCACAGCAGGTTCTCCATGGAAGAAGCCGCTGGAAGGAGATGTTCCACTCCCTGCCAGTTATATGTTGGGCACCACCTCCGATTGCTGGGCACTACATAATGGTGTGTGAACATACAGCCCTCCATGTGTTGGCCTATAACGTCCTATCGGTTTTAGTTAGTCTTGCCAGGGTTGAGGGCTGTTGGGAATGGCATCGGGAGGGCCAGCATTTCTTCATCTCTGCCCTAGCTTCATTTGCTTGCCAGCCTGCACTGCTGGGATCCCATAGTTTATATCCCACAGTACTTTCTGATTCTCAGAACTAACTATTACATAACTCTACCTTTTATTTCCTCAGATATTCCTGCCACAGGATTCTCTTAAGCAAGCCAATAGTGACCTTTTTGTGTTTACCACAGTACCACTGTGACAAAGGACAACCGATTAGGAGTAGCTTCCATTTCTCACAATGATTCATCTGAGGCCGGCGTGGCATGGTATTTACAGTGTTGAACTATGATTCAAGACACCTGGGTTCAAATCCTCTTTGAACCATGATTAGATAACCTTCAGCCGGTTATGTATGGTCTCAGTCTGACTCACCTCACAGGGTTGTTGTGAGGATAAAATGGGGAGGAGAGCCACGTACATGGCCTTCAGCTCATTGGAGGAAGGGTGCCTGGGATATAAATATAACCAGCAAATAAAATAAATGCTGTATAGTATCAAGAGTGGATTGGGTGACACAAGGCTGTTACTCACAGTACTATCCCTAAATCCTCTGCTGTGATACAGTGCAGCATTCAATTACTTTGAAGACTAGAAATACCATTGGAGGGAGGTGGCGTAGAATCTTTACTTTGAATTGAATGGTCTCTATCACCTTAGCTCTGTTCTGGGTTTTAGTTCTTGCTCACACCTGAATGTGATAGTATTTCAGGTGTTGGGTGGTCCCCCCATAATGTGGCTAAAGACCTGTAAGGCTTGAGACAGTGTCAGGAATTTGAACCTTTGCCTGTCCTTGATTGCTTCCCTCCCACATGACCGACCAACTATTCTAACCCATGATTTGCATATAAGAGTGGCAAAGTGGAGGGAGATGCTCTCTTCTGCCACAGGACAACTCATGCCTTCTCCTGTTTCAAAATTGCGATTTGCTTCACAAAGGTTCTGAGCCTGTTGATGGTGTATGTCATTTGTATGTTGATTTTGTTAATACTGACACATTATTCTCTTTATTGATGGATTTGGTTAGTGAAACTTCAGTTGTCCATTGTCTAATTCAGTGGTTCCCAACCTCGGGTGACCCAAGTGTTCTTGGACTCCAATTCCCAGAAGTCTCCACCGCCAGCTCTGCTGGCTGTCCAGAAGCCTTCACCGCCAGCTCTGCTGGCTGCGGTACTGGGAGTTGCAGTCCAAGAACACCTGGAAACATTGGTCTAATTCACTGTATGTTCTTGGGGAAAACAGCAGGATTGGGGTGGGTTATGAAAATTGAACAGTTTGGTATCCTGAGCTGCAGGTAGTCCGCAGAAGACACTGTTCTCTTTCATGAACTCTTTGGATTTACTGGAGCTGTGGACCTCTTAGATGCATCATTAGTTATGGATTTGTGCTATACAAAAAATCAGGATTCTCTTGAATGATTAATTTCTCTTACTGGTTGCATTCTGGGGTTTTAAGCAGTTTGCAGTTATTGGTCATTGCCCTCCCCAGTTTGTTACTCCATTAATATATGATTTTCTCCATGAATATGGGAGGGGAGATTAGGAATTTTAATGAGTAGATATTTTGTAATAGATACCTTTGTTGAATTGCTTGAATATTCTGTTCATATTTTCCCTATTTTGGCCAGTGTTTCTATCCTTTTTGGTGTTATTTTTGTAAGGAGCAGCTAAGGTTTTTAGCTCATAAATTCAAATTACTTCAGTCCATTTATTAACTGACTCCTTTGGGCCAGTATCTTCTCACAGTGTGTGGAACTAGTTGCTGTAGATATATGCTTAGAGGTGTAAAAAATTTTGGCAGATTCTGAAGTCATGAGGAAGGGGAAATCATATTTTGTTTGTAATTTATTCTGTCTAAAGGAGACCAAAATTATACATGTTTAGATGGACATTTAGAAAGTAAGGTTTCCCGTGACAATTTGTCCATTTGTGTCAGACTCTAGGCGGTGGTGCTCATCCCTTTCTCCAAGCCGTAGAACCAGCGTTTGTCCGTAGATAGTTTCCATGGTCACGTGGCCAGCGCGACTAGACACGGAACGCCGTTACTTTCCTACCATGGTGGTACCTATTTATCTACTCGCATTTTTACATGCTTTCAAACTGTTAGGTTGGCAGGTACTTCATCTCAATATAACTGCTATTATTGAAACAGACTGTCTTTTACCTTATAATTGGTAATTAGTCTTCCTTTTGGATGGTCAGAAAACTCCATCTGATTTTATACTCCCTGAAGTGCTAATTTTTTTGTTCATTAGTCTTCCTTTTGGATGGTCAGAAAACATCTGATTTTATACTCCCTGAAGTGCTATTTTTTTTGTTTTCCCGGTATTTAAGCAGTGTATCTGTAAGTGTAATACAGACAGCACACTTTCTTAATAAATCTGACCTTTGGCACCTGAGTCATTTTATCTTGTTTACTTGAACATATATTTCTTCTTGGCTATGATGATTACATACTGTCATATGGAATCTGTTGGTGCCATTCTACCCTTCAGGTAATAAATGCAGTCACCTAAAAGTGATTTTCTTTAAAATATTTTGTTTTCATTTTGTTAATAATTTTTTTTGTTATTCACCATTCTGAATGGGGGCATACAGACTTAACACTTCAAAATACCATAATATTAAATGACAACAGATCTTGGCAAGCAGATTAGCTTGTTTATAATATTTGTAGTCAAAGTGATGTATGCATAAAAAGATAGGAATTCTTAAGGAACAGATAAGAACTCGAGCACTGAAAATAAATAATTACTGGAAAACTTGAGTTAGGACATTTAGGCTCTTGATATAATTTGTTTCCTTTAGAGCAATTTTTATTCTTCCCTTCAGAGATATGTGTTCTTACATAAATAATATTTAAGGCAGTCAGCATGATAAAACATGATGTGGTGGACCTGGGCATAACAATAAGTCCCTCTCTCTGTCTTCATGTTCCTTAGATGGCAATGATACAGGGATCAAAGCCTTAACAAATAAAATAGGCAGCCTCATATGGCAGAGTAAAAGATCCTATAAATCTTTTTGAGAGTATCTTGTGAGGCACATCAGTCGGGGGAAATAATATTGCAAACAGGGTGGATAAAAATGAATGATTTAAAAAATCAAATTGATTTAAATTTAAACTGATTTTCTGTTAAAAATTTTTTTTACATTTAAATGGTGATTTAAATCAAATTCACCCCGATTGCA